TTGCAGGGTTTGTATTAAGTTACAACCTGCTTTATTTTTGTCTGCCAGCTGGACGCTAGCTGGGACCTTTACGCTGGTAAGTGCTGTTTGTTATTGTTATTCTACAGAACATGGCCATAATGCACTGACCGTGTTTGGAAAATAAAACATTTCTAGAACTCTAAATACATACATAAAACAATACATACATTCAGTTAAAGGTAAAAATAAAATCATCCTTGATAATGGCTAAGAGTATAGTTGAAATTGCTCAGACATACAAAACATTTGGTTAATTTCTACATAGTTTATGTCCAGAAAAGAAGAAAATTATAAGAGTACAAAAGAAAATTAAATAAAAAACTTAACTGTAGTACTTTGTCAGTCATTTTTAATGAAACTTATATGTATAGCATTTTGGTCTCTCCTGTTGCTTTTGCTATATGAGGATCAAAAAACTCATTTCTTAGAACCAACAGCTAGACTACCTGCATGTCATTTGATTATGGTGGTGAATGCTTGTGCAGAACCAGCAACATTTTTTGGAAGAGCCAAATATGGAGAACTGGAGGACAGTATACCACAAGGTCCTGAAATGTCTTTCCACAGGTTTTGAATTCAGAGTTGTTCTTCTACTAGACTGGTTACCACTGAAGGCTTTAGGACCTAGTCTGCCCTGCTATTTAACCATAGCTGGTGGGGAGAAAAGATGGATTCATACCTTTCCAATGGATATTAGCATGTAATTGAATTTGAACTAGGCTCTCTGATTCCTCAATCCAAAACCACAATTATGTTGAGTCGTAAGTAATTTCTGTTCTTGGGAACCAATTGGAAAGACAAATGCATCATTCTCACTACTACTTGTACCTGGAAGTTAGGAATTAATTTGGGGCACAGTAACATATCTTCAGATTCTTTTAACAACCCTCCTCAAGCTTTTGATGCAAAGTTGTCCTTGTCCTAATCTGGTTGACAACCAAGGCTAAAGAACCCTGTCTGTTCGACTATTTAACTCATAGCTTTGGGAGGAGTAATAGATTAATAACTTTCCCAGGGATATTTGTATGCAAGTAAATGTACCAAACTTGACTGCAATTCAAACTATTTCTGATATCTCATTCCAAGCTGCTCTCTATTACACCACCCACACATCCACACACACGCATGACCAATGCAAGAATTTTCATATTTTCTTTTTCTTTTCTATGCCTGATATGTTCAAACATTTACCTTTCATTTATACCTTTATATAATCAGCCTTGTAACATAAAACCCATGTTGAAATACCTTGACATCTCTCATATAAATTTTGCCATTTCTTTTCATTTCAGAGTCAAATAACATTAATGGATTTGCCTGTGTTCCAGGCTATTCAACCAGATGTGAGTAATTTTAGAGTTTGTTGAAGAGTTCTTTCAAATATTCACTATATTAATACCTTATAAAATGCTTGTAAAATACTTTATTATATGAGAGGGGGAGGCCACTAGGAAAAAAATATCTAAGTTGATGTTGATGTTTTAGCTTTATATAAATGTGCAGTGGAAAATGTCATATTGCCATTTCTGACCTTAGGTCTTTTGTTGGAACGCGGATGAAAATGAGTATACAAGAGGAATCAAAAGTGATAATAAATTAAGTAAATATGTGTATATTTTAGCAGAAATTGTTTTTACTTATCACCTGGTTCACACTGCTTCTCCAACTTTTGATCACTAGTGGAAATTTATCCCATGTTTCCTGTTTAGGATTGGGTTTCCAGTCCATTGTCCTAAAGTCTTCTTATACTTTTTCATTCTCAGTAACTTCTGCGTCTTAGTGGCTTTATTGCCTTGTTTGTTATAAAATGATTAAAAAAGAAATCTCAATTACAAAACAACTGCATGTCATCTTGATATAGACAAAAACCTACATTTATTTTTTGTGTAAAATATATATATATATATATATATATATATATATGTGTGTATATATATATATATATATATATGATGGCCTGAAGAGTTTTAAATCATGAAATAGACTATTGCTGCTTGGTGTTGACCTTCATATTTATATACCCTATATCAGATACTGAGCACTTTTAGTTATAAGTATAACATACCTTAAAACTATATTGTGTGTGTGGCAGTGTGTGTTATACACACACACACACACTCTAATAACTAATCTCCAAATAAATGTTATCATCTGTATTCTTAATTCTTGTTCTTTTATTGTCTTCTCTCTTTCATAGTAGTTTTTCTCATATTCTCTAACACTCAGTAACCCCTTGCATTTTAGTGGTTTTATTGCCTTTGATCTTCAAAAATTTAAATGCAATGTCAATCGTTATCATGTGTGTTCTTAATTCCTGTCCTTTTATTGTTCTCTCTCCTTAATAGTGTTTTATTTTCCTTACAGTCTCTCACAGTCAGTAAACCCTATTAGTGGCTTTTTTGCCTTGCTTGGGGTGAAATGATTTAAAAAAATGTATATATTAATAATCTGTGTAGTTGCTTTAAAAATCACCCCCTGACTCACATTTACTACTGGGGACCCAGGGAGATGAGTTTGGCCATATGTTACAACAAAATAGTCTTACCTAAACTGATGAAAGCATGACAAACCTTCTGTCCAATTTAAGTCGACATCTGTTTATCTCCCAAGATAAAGGTAGCTCTCTGTTTGGTCAAAATTTAGTCCTTTGGTCGTGAGACTGGAGTGAACTTATCATGGGGCAAGAAAAGCATCTAGCACAATTTTTGTAAAATCAGGAGCGTTTAAATTTGTGGGATGTGTGTGATCATGGCTTTCTACTATTTCCTGTCTTTTGTAGCTCTTATCAATCTTTGTCTTTTTGCCATCCCTCACACTTTCTGTTCTGTCTTCAAGCTCCAAGGCAAATACATTGAACTAAAGGACACAAATAAAGGGTTTTGTTTGAAATTTCCAACATATATTACCTTAAGAAGGCTAGAGTATACAATGGCCAAAATATTGTGAATGTGACAATAAAAATGTGGACAATAGTCCAAACAATGTAAATACTTACAATACCTCATCTCAGAAGTATAGACAAATACAGTCATGTATATATGGGCAAAAGTTCTGTTTTATTCTTTCTCTTTAATAATGTTTTCTTTCATATTCTCTCATGCTCAGTAACCTTCACATCTTTGTAGCTTTACTGCCTTGCTTGGGGTGAAATGATTAAAAAAAAAGTTTCTTTTTTAGAATATTGGTATAGGATTTAGAACTGAAATAGTTCCAAAATAGACACTTTCAGCTAAGTAAACAAGCAAGCAAACACACACACTCTCACTCACTCGCTCACTCTTCTTTTCCCTCCCTTGAAACAGTACCTGGCACAAATCTTGCATTTTGGAACTATTTCAGTTCTGAATCCTTTACCAATCCTCTGGAAGAAGCATATATATATATATATATATATATATATCTGTATTTGTACCTTTAGTGTATTTACCATAGAGCTATATCACTTTTCATTTGGTTTGTTGTGCTTTATTGCCTGTTAACTTTCTCTACTACCAGATACTGTGCTGCTTTAATATCATTGTATTTAACAGACGGCCCAAACTCTTGGTTAATTGTCTTTCAAGATGTGATCACTTTCTGTTTGTAAATAAAAGTAGTTTTATATAAGCTTCAGCGTAATCTCTTTGAGACTTGGACAACAGTTAGAAGGATTATTTAAAAGAAGTTGAGAGTTGAAATATATGATGCCTCTTACCCCCTCAATCAATTACAGTATCATGGAGTTAGATTTGGTATAAGAGGGTGCTGAAACGTTGTCAGCTCACACAAGAGGTCCTTCCAGAAATTAATCTAATGTTTGGTCAGACCTTGGGAAATGCTTTGGGCTGCAAACTTTTAAACTTCCTCTGTTGGTTCTAATTTCATAATGAAGGCCAAAGGGGAAGTGGGGTAGGGCTAGCCAACACTATCCTAGACCCCTATCTAATGAGATCCATGATCCATTCATCCATTTCAATTTACTCATTCAGCACAAGAACTTATCCATCATGATTCAATCCTACATATGTCACAATCCCACATAGGAAACCTACAAAAAACCAAATGACATAAAAATTTCTTTATCTATAAAATGTCTTTTTTTTTTCTTTTTTCTTATAAAAATACATAAAAAAATATATCAGTAAGAAATGAGGGAGGGAGGGTATAAACCCAGAAAACAAAACTGAAATATAACGAAAACATTCAAACTGAAAATGACATGTTAGTAGGACCCGTCCACCCCACAAAAATAAGAGCGGCCGCTGTATTCTACCTATAGACAGAAGCAAGAGACTCACTCACTAATGGAGAGGGAAGGATAAAATAAATGGTGAAGTTGGAAAGTCAAAGACTGACTTAGTCGAGATGAAAAAAAAAAAACAAAACAAAGTGAGGGAAGCAAATTGGGGAGGTTGGAAATCTCGACATGGATCATAACAAAAGAGAATGCCGGGAACGACCTGACATTAACTCTGTAGACAAGAGAGACTAACTTAATCAGGGGAGAGTTTGTCAGGCACCTTACCATTAAAATAAGTTTAAAAAAAAAAATCAAGTGGGTCATGTACACTGACATGGTAAAAAAAAAAGGTCAGCTCAACATGGTTAAAAAGAGGTCAATCTTACATAAAGCAATCAAGCAAGCATATACCTAAACACAGTCAAGAGATCAGTGCAGTACAAAGCAAACAATCATCAAGAAACCCTACACCATTTAAACTGTAAAAAACTTAAAGATAAAAACAGATAATGCAACACCCATTAAGTGAAAAAAATCACACACTCACACAAAGATATCGAATTACACCAAACTATACATAAAAAAAAAAAAAATTGAGAAGTAACAGCAGAGAAGCCAATAGCCCTGAAGAGTTGAAGGCATTACAACAATGCACTCACGAAACTTTGAAGTCGGCATGACTGAAATAATACTGAGTTAAGTGACAAATTTCTCCACATTCTATTAATACTCTATCCTTACCTTTTGATATTGAGCTTTATAAGATGAAAGTCTACCTTCCTAAAATGCCTTTCCACCAGTAAACTATGAAATAAAAGAACCAACAATTTTAGCACCTAACACCCTTACAGTATCTGTCCTTTTATTATCACTGCTCTGTAGTCTACATTGAGCTCTCCCTGGATTTATAGCCTTCTTGGAATTATCCCTTCTAGTCACAAACTGGTAAAATGTTTAATTTTATATATATGTATATATCCCTCTGTTTTTTTTTTGTGGGGTGGTTAAAGTATTTATCTGTTGAATAAAGGTCTATAAATTAGAAAAACCTTTTAATATAAGAAAATATTGCCTTTTTGTATTTTAATTATTTTTATGACCTGCACTCCATAATCATAAATATTTTAGTGTGAATCCAGCCTGTCCTTTATTATGGTTGCCATTATAATTTCTTTGTAACTATTCAAATACAAATAAAACAAAAAAAAATCAACCAAAAAAAAGAAATAAATGAATTTGTCATTGTAACTTCATCCTTCAACTCTATCTTCTTAAATTCATACATGAATGAATCCCTTTTCAGTGCTCATATTTTATTAAGTATATATTGATATGATTAACGGTTGGTTGCTGATTACATGATCAGCATACTAACAATTGCACGGACAAGTACAAGAACTAACACAGGAGTAGATAAGTTTCATACTCTTCTCAACTCTTTTGAACAGGAATAGGAGTTTATTACTTGTTTCTTGTTTAGGATTGCATTTCCAGTTCCTTCTAAAGTCTTCTCATTCTCTTTCACTCTCAGTAGCCCATTGTGTCTTAGTGGCATTATCGTTGGTCTTTTGAACAGGAGTACAGGTTTATCCATTGTTTCCTGTTTAGGATTGCATTTCTAGTTCCTTCTAAAGTCTTCTCATTCTCTTTCACTCCCAGTAGCCAATTGCGTCTTAGTGACATTAATCAATTCACCCCAAGCAAGGTGATAAAAAAACAAAAAAAAAACAGGTTTTATAAGTACACAAACGTAATGACTTGTCATAAGAACATTTTATTCACCAATCTGCTCTATTCATTGTTAACTTTGACAGATAATTATGTAATGTTTCTCCAGAACATGGATGATGACTTCCTATCTTTTGTAGAACTAGGTAAAATTTGTCTCCTTACTATACCTCTAGTTGATTTTCTGTTATCCATTTAGACAATCTCCTTAGGAATGTTCCTTGCAGTTTTCATCTGCACCCTCTGTCCTTCAATCTGTCCTGTGAGTGTCAAATTCTCCAAGCCCTTCTCTGAAAGAAGAATAAACAGTAAAATGAATAATTTATTCAAGCCTTCTTATATTATCTCCAAAATGAAACTGTTCTCTTCTAATCATCTTAATCTTTTTTGCCTTCC